GAAAATATTACATATGATGAACGTGATCTAGATGAGTACTTGATTGGAATCGCTCATAATTTAGAACTACAACATTAAAATATTTTATGATAATTTTTTTGTATTTTTATTACTTATATTTTATTAATTATATTACACATATTATTATATTTACACGATCTCGGTATAGTTTGAATATTTCAGAAATAAATACAATATGGACGGGGAAATGTCGTACGGGGAAATATCTTACGGGGAAACGTGTGACGGGGAAATGTCAGACGGGGAAGTGACCAGATACCGTTACTCCCAACTATAGGTACAAAAATATACTAAACTCAACAGAACTTTTAATAGTTTTAAGCCTGTTATTTCATCAAATATAATAATACCTATGTGWATTGTGTAAGTGTGGAAATTTAAATTTTAAAAATTTAATATAAACTCCAATACGGGTGTATTACCTTTACGTTATTTTATAATTTAATAACCCCTATCTTTAAAACATTAGTATGCTTCAAACAATATAGGTAGGTAATCATATAAGTTCTCTGAAACTAAATTATAATTCAATGTGCCACACAAATATTTTGAACAATCAATTTTATGTAAAAATATATAACTTGTGTATAATAATTGGTCTTATGTAACTGTGCATTAAAGCTATATATTTTTTCAAAATTACGATTGCTATAGTTAGACATAAGACTCATATTTTTCATCAATTTTAATATAATTTAAATTGTATTGTATAATTTAATCAAATGTTTTAAATAAATAATGTCATGAAAATAATTTAGCTACTTAATATTATTAGGAATTATATATTTTAGAAATCAAAACGATGTCACAATATTCACATTTTACAGTGTTCTACGAATAATTCTTAAAGAAAAACTGTATTCGAATTTTAGATACAACCAAAAATAACTAACTCTTTTATTTCAGTTTAATTTTATAGAAATCGGTTATTTGCTAAAAGAGATGTTTTGAATCTAATATGTTTAATTACTATTCGGTCGATTGATTTGATTTGGTCACATTCCATAAAATTGTACGGACGAACAAAATGACCGTATTCTGTCTGTGTAATCTAATCGCTGCAATGTCTATAGCGAATTCCGAAGATTAGGCTATTTCCAAATAATGCATTAGTTCGTCTACCAATTACTATATCTCTGACCTCGTGGTCACCCGGAAATTGATGGTGGGCCAACGTAGAAGTCAACAGTGATAGATGGTAGTTCAAACCTGCAATTACGATAAACAATTTGGTCCTAGTAGTAGTTTTTATTCGTAAATAAGGTATTATGTAATTTTTCATTTATCGATATATATTTTGTTCGCTCTATACAGTAGATACCTTAACTACTTAAATTATTGGGCAATAAGAAGAATTAATATTGGCAGCTTTTAGTACAATTTAAATGTTTGTTTTATAATTTAAATTGAAGGTTGTATAATCGTGTTATATAACCTGCACCCAGCTGATAATTAATTAATCGATTTTTTTATAAATAGGTCAATTCAATATTTTTTTCCGTTTTTAATTTTAACTTGTTAGAGTTGAACATGCTAATTGTTCAATAGTTATTAACTTATAATATAATATTATTGACGTCGACCTTACATAACTAAGGGTTGTTTTTTGATATAAAATAATACAACAGATGGTAATTTGTAAATTTAGTGAAATATCTTATTTTTTTCACTATAGAATATTAAAAAAAAATTCAAAATGAGAAAAAAAATAACTCAATTTTAACGTGAATTTAATATGAACGAATTACAATAACTAAAGTAACTACTTAGTTTATTTAATTTATACGATTTTGATGGAAATAAATTATCGTGGTGCTGTATAATTAATATCAAATTTTATCATCTATAACTAGCTGCTATGATTGAACATAATCGTGGGTATCATAAAATAATAAACATTTAAAAAAATATATTTTCACGTAAGAGTGTTTAGTTTTTGTAATAATGTTATAATGTGCTATAAAATACAATAATAATATTATTGATGAAAGTTTCACCCGAAGGAAGGTATCAAACGAAAAGTTTTTCTTTAATATACCTACGCATTTTGATTCTTTAAGTTTGTACTAACTGTTTAGAGYGTAGAATGTTCATATTTTTGGTTCAAAGTATTTCAAAAGCTATAAAAACACAAACGTTTCTTCTGAATTTTCCTCAACATAAGACTATGCAAAATATAAAAGAGATGTTTAAGATGTTATGTTGAAGTATTTTTAGTATTTATAATAATTAATAATTAATCGTTATCTACTGTGAATATTTCACTAAAAAACCTTAAAATGTTTTCGTGCCTCATTATTTTAAAGATGGTGCAGGACAGTATTTTCATTACCTACATAATATTAGTTCCCTGAATGAAACGAGGAAGTGTTCATAAATGAAAATATTTGTAACTTACTTATAAAAATGGTCGATTCTAAAACTTATACTTCGAGGTTTAGCAATTAAATTAGTTTTGTCACTCACAGATGTTACTTATAATAAATATGTTCATAAAAGTAAGTTCTGCACAACGTGAATGTATTGAATGTTATTCCCAGTGGGTCATCTAATCATAGTACATTTTAGGTTTACTATATACAGAAAGACCTCTTGAAGTGTTTTCTCTTTTCCAATAGACATTACTATCACACAGTTTTAAATCAGATTTATCGGAATACATTTTATAGTGGATGTTTACACATACGATGAAATGTACTTGAAAAATGTTATATTTTATTATTTTTCAAATGCATGTAATCAAATATATTATTTCTGAATTCACCCAAATAAAAGTGTTTAAGTTAAAATTTCAACATTTTATCTATAAAAACATTTATATACAATATTTTAAATTATTTAATTGCTTAAAATTAATAATTTTATCTAATTATATAATATAGTTTAAAAAATTAATATTAAATTTTTGTCTAAATAGTGTTATATGTAATAAAAAAAATATAATATTGTATAGCACATTAGATTTACAATATAATATATAGATAAAAAATGTAATAGATGGAATGTGTAACTAATGTTTTATGAATATTGCACTGTAAGATACACGTGAATGCTGTAAGTGCAAAGAGTGTGTATGATTTCTACCGTGACCACCATTTGTTCTACCACAGTGCGATGCGTCCGATGTGGCAAAATAAAAACTTTTTATTTTTCGCCGCATTTTTTGGATTCATGTAGAGCACAGCATTATACGATTATGGAAGTTGATTYGAGTCAAATCATGGACTGAAACAAAATGTTATTCATAKCTTAAACCTAACCTTACCACATATTTTTAAAGTGTGATTGATTATACGAATAGTTTTAAAATCTGTGTATTATAAACATAATACTATACAATAAAATAAATATGCATTAGAACATTTTAAGAGTAGGTTTAGCGATTAAACTATTTTATATTTGCAGACATTTTCGTTTTTTGAATCATTTCAATTTTTAACGTATATACAGGATGATCCATTTAAGTGGGTACACTAATTAACACGAAAAGTATACACTTTTWAAATTTTTTTTTTAACTTTTAGGGTTTATGTTAAAACTGCAAAATATTAAAAWTTTTTTCACCTTTATATTTATTGGTGAAACCACTATCAACTTTTAATTTTAAAATGCTAACATAAAATTAAAATATCATGAATTAATAAAACCATTTTTTCATGAATTTATGTGTTAACATTTTTATTTTTTGTTGA